ACACCGGAAGTGGAGGTCCAGTGTAAACTCTTTGAGCCCAACTTTCCTCCCAAGTCACCTGCAAGGCATTGAGAACAGGACACCATACCTCCTCCTTCAGATTCCCAGATGTAAATTCAGGAGGCAGGTGTAGATAAAGGGACTCACTGCACAGTCTCCCAGCCCAGAGGAACTTAAACTCTGGACTCTGGATGCTGCTGCCTTGGCTCTCTAGAAAAGAGCTCCCTGCCTGCTGACCCCACTCCTGCCCAAACAAACTGGCCTGGCTAAGCAAACCCAAAAAGGGGCTCATCCTGGGGTTTGAACAAGGAAAGGACCTCTTTATCTTAATTAGGAGATTAGTCTTCTTAACCTCCATTGATGTCTGCTCAGTCCCTCCTGGGGAGCCCAACAGGAACAGGTGGAAAGAGCTGGGCTTGGTTTCCTCCTGTCCCTGCAGTCTACTCCTGCGCCATCGTTGACATGGGCAGCAGCCACCTGGCAGAGGTGGGCGGCTTGAAAGCCAGGTAGATGTGGTCCTCAGGCTACAGCAGACATAGCTCTCCCATGGCCCTGCTCTGCAGGAGGAGCCATCCAACTGGTCCTGCAGGCACATGCTTGCCAAAGCCTGGCACTCAGCCTCCCCCCCCCCCCAGCTTCCCATAATCCCTTCTCCTTCTCTGGGCTCTTTGTCCATCTCTCCACCTTGGCACTGTGCCCAGGGGACACCCCATAAGCGATCCTATTCCTTATTGGGAGGGGGATCACACAGATGCTCCCACACTTGATGTCCAGGTATCTGCCCAGGACAAGCCAAGGGAGACCTTGGAAATGAGTCATCTTGCTGTCACCTTCCCCTGGACCCAGACTGGAGCTTCCCTGACCCAGTTTCCTAGGCATAGTGAAGCCCTAACTGAGGAGTAACCAGGGGACTGAGGGGAGAAGAGCCCTGTTCCTCTGGAGCTACAGGCAGGACCTGACTCAGTCTCTACTCAGAGATAGGGCAGCTGGGAGGGAGCTTGTGCTTGCAACCTTATTCTACACGTGGGAAAATGAGGGTCCAGACAGGGAGAATGACTCATCTGATGTCCAAGGCACTCTGTAGAGCTAGAGTCAGAACCCACCCAGATCCTGACCTCTTCCTTGTCTCAGCCACTGCCCATCACAGGCTGACTCTCAGATTCTTCCTGCACACAAGGTCGACAGGCAAGACTTGGAAATGCTTAGCATTAGAGCTTGTGGGACCCTGGGACATTCCAGTGAGACTGTCGACAGGACAGTCTGGAAAGCATCTGTCTCCTACAAGAGTCTCCTGAACCCACGGTGGCAAGGGGACCTGCTTATGTGTCCTTCCTACAACAGCTCCAGGTCTGAGGGATCCTGCCATGGGCTGAAGAGTGGAAGTGGCCTAGGGCCTAGGTTGAGCTAAAGCAGAGGAACCCTCCAGACCCACAGAACTTGGGGGCATTCCACTGTGGGGAAAATGTCTGTGAAAAACTATGAATTCATGGAAAGCACAGTGCAGTTTCTCAGTTAGCTTATTTATTTCACACAGGATCTGTGTTAAAACATTTATCTTGCAATTTCTCAGTTAACCTATCACTTTGGCACAGGGTCTCACTGTGTAGCTCTAGCTGGATCCCTAGCTCTCACTGTAATCCCTAGTGTCTGCCTGGAATTAAAATTGCTGGGATTAAAGGTGTGCCACACTACACCTGGCTCTAACTTGGATTTTTAAGACCACAAAGCTGACACTTTTTTTTAAAACAGGATCTTTCTTGTATCCCTGGCTGTTCTGAAACTTGCTATATAAACCAGGATGTCCTGGAACTCTGAGAGCTGCTGACCTCCCTCCACCATGCCCCCTGTGGCATTTCAGACTTCTGAGAGTAAAGGTGTTTCCTACCACCATTTTGAGACAGGGCTTCATGTAGCCCAGGCTTTCCTTGAATTCCTGATCCTCCTGCCTCTACTTCCCAAGGACTAGAGTATGGTTATGTGCACCATATCTCCTCTGATCCAGGGCTTTAAGCATGATAGCTAAGCAAGCATACTACCAATGAGCAGTCTCAGCCCAAGCAATTGTCACTTTAAAAAACAGGACACAAGTCGCTTACCCTCTATCATCCTAAGGGGCATCAATTCAGGGCTGGGGAGAAAAGGTTTAAGATGGAGAAAGAGATAAGGAGGGAGAGGGCAAGGGTGGGGCCATAGCTGTGGACCCCATGCAGGCTGACCACAGGACAGGAGTCCCACCTCCATTCTGTGTCAGGAGGATGGAGCAAAGGGGACAGAAAAGGACCCTGGACAGAGCAGCCCACTAGACGCCAGACACCATTCCAGGGCGCAGTCAAGACAGTCTTACAGGGACACACAAGCAGCATTTGAACCCCAGGCTTTCCAATGATCCTGTGCCGAAGTGACTTAAGGGGGAGCCCTTCCAACCTCCAAGTCCCTCTAGTTCCTTCAGTGTCCCCATGTGTTAACACCCCACAGTCCTGACAAGTGTGGCAGCGTTAGATGTCTTAGAAGTGGTACCAGCAGACAGTTGCTCAGGGCACTGTTGCTGCTAAGGGAATATGGTCACCCAGAAACAGATGCATAAGTCCTGCTGGGCTGCCCTTACTGTAAGCTGTGGATGCTTCAGCTCGGCCTCTTCCTGCCCCTCCTCACCAGGGCCCCAAGTAGGCGTTTCCTGGACTTGAGAAGGATTCACTAGCACGGATCAGCTGAGGCAATTCAATTATGAAATTTACCACATTAGATGCAAACAAGCAACTCAATGAGCAATTCATTTGTGGCCACTACTGTTTTGATGCCAAGTCTGCACAAGGGGGAGGGATCCAAGCCCCTTTCCAGGACACACCCACACCGCCCGCTAGTAAAGGATTCAGGGCTCAAACAGTGAGCTGGTTAGCAGGGTGAGGCTTCCCAGGGTCACACCCCCACACATACACCACACACACACACATACATACACACACACACACACACACACACACACACACACACACACACACACACCAGAAGCTGCACGGGAAGCCAGGTCCTCCAATGAACCTGGAGAGCTGTCTGAATTCATACCACTATCACAGTCAAGAATCAACGTTTTGGCCACCTCTCCCCTCCCTGCCCCTGACCTCACCTGTGCCTAATGCAGGCAGCCTAGATCTGAATGGCAGGAGAAATGGCTGCAGCCCAGGGCATGGAAACCAGATTGTGGAAGGCCTTTGCTAGCTTTCCCTTCCCCTCTACAGGAAGCCCCCACCCCTTCACTGCTGCTCCCTGGGACCCTGGTCGCTGGGGCTCTCTGCAAACCGTGATGAGTCAAGGCCCCTGACCCACGTGCCAGCACCCTTCTCTAAAGGCGGGGTCTAAATGGAGTAAATGAACCACTAAAAGCACCCTCACCCTCTAAAGGCAGGAGGAGGGCGCTGCTGCCCCTGCACCCCACATGCAGGGCCGTTTCTCTTTTCCTCCTACTCTTCTCTCCCCTCACTGGTGCCCGCAGGCTCACGATGCCATCCACAGGGATCGAGCCACTGTGGAACAGGCAGCTGACCCAAAGCTCTTCTGCTGCACAGCACACAGAACCCAGCTGCAGCTTGAGACCAGGACAAAGGTTTCTTCCTTCTTCCCGGCTTCCTTTTAAACAGTCTCCCTGGTCTCCCTGATAAATGACTCCAATCTGAAATACCAGTAATTACAGCGCCAGGGACAAAAGTGACTTTGCCGGTCTCCATAGGCAAAGCCTGTGAACTCAAGAACCAGACTCTAAGGGACCCAATCTACTGTAGGATAAGAGCACCCTGGGTCCCCCCTCCAGTTCCCAGACACAAGCATTTCAGCAACACCCATAAAAAGTCCTCAGAACATAACCGCATCACCTATGACAGGAGAGGCCCAGCATCCTGAAGGGTCAGGTCCCAAGTCCCCCTCCCTCCCTGCCCTACTCCAGGCCAGAGTGAAACCAAATGGCCCAGACAACTGGCATATCTTGCTTGCCTCAGCAGTGTGTCTTGGCCAAAGCAACTAGGACTCATTAGGACTCCTCAGTGCACGGATAAACTGGAAGAGGCCTGGGTCGTTGCCCCCTGCTCCTCCAACTACCTGTGGTAAAGTCTCTAGGATCTTGAGATGGGCATGATGGCACTTGCTTATAATCTCAGCACTCAAGAGGCTGGAACCCGAGGGTCCCAAGTTCAAGGCTGGCCTGACTACATAACAAAACTAAAAAGGAAAGAAATCCTTGTAGACTGCCGGAACGCACTTTAGGGTACACCCAAGGGTGCCTGGTGCCCCACAGGCATAAGTCCACAATAGGAAAAAGAAGCAGAAGTCAAGTGGGGGGCCTTGGTGAGCCCGAGCAACGTATGGGAGGAGGGCCGAGCAATTGGGGACTAGGGACATTTGCTATAGCCCCATGGGGGCGGGGGGGGGGGAGGAGGGGGGCGGGCAACACGTGAATGGGTAGGTGGGTGTGACTCCAGGAGTGTCACCACTTCTCCCTCGACAGACAACTTCCTAGTCAGGAAGGTCCCGCGCGGCGGGCCACACGGCCAGATCCCGCAGGCTACACGGCCAGATCCCGCAGGCTTTCCTTGTTTAAGCCCTCGGCCCTCGCTAGGCATGCGGCCCTTGGCTAGGCACAGGCACGCGGCTGCGCTGTTCGCATCCTCGAAGACAAGCCGCCTCCTCTTTCTAGGATCAATAGTCATTTTTTAAAAAAGAGTCAGCGGACTCAATGAATCAACCACTCCCGAGGGAGGGAAGCAGCTCCCGAGCGTAACATCCGTTTTCAAAACAATTCATTGCCTCGGCGGGAGCTCAGAGCAAAGCAATACGGGGTCCCCAAGCTCGACCGAGGAGCGCTCCCGGGTCAGCCCCCCACTTTCCAAACCCAGGGAACCCAGCCCGCGGTCCTGCGCCCTGCGGGGCGCTCCTCTCACAGGGTCGCTGTCCCGGCGACAAGCCCAGACGACGGCGCCCCCTGTCGGCCCGGTCCCGGACCCGGTACTCACTTTATGGCCCCACGCACTACGCAGTCCCCGCAGTCCCCGCAGTCCCCGCCGCTGCCTCCGCCGCCACCGCCGCCCCGGGCCAGCTCTCCAGTCCCGACCGCTCTCCCGTAGCTGACCCGCATCGGCGCCGCCAACAAACTAGTTTCTCCGGCCTTCCCGCCCCGCCTCCCGGCCCAAAGCGCAGCAGCCAATCATAGGCCGTGCCTCTGTGACGGATGGGCCAATAAGCCGGTAGTACAGCCGCGTGAGGAGAAAGAGGCGGCCGTCCCGACCGCCGGTACCGCGAGGGGCGGGGCGAGGAAAAGAAAGCGACTGCCACCAGATTCTTAAAGCGACAGGCCATTGCCTTCCGCCCTGGTGGCCCAGAGTTGCAGAAAGAAACGCGACCTGGTCTTAGAGCTTTCCCAAGGAAGCAGCTTTGTAGATTACACACATGCCTCTTTCTGTTCCCGGATCCCAGCCATTGTTGATCTTTTTACAGAATTGCACTCTAACCCTCCCTGCGTTAAGGAAAGCACTATTTACTCCCGGCTAGTTTCAGTGTTGGGGAGTTCCTACAGCCAGGAATCCCTGTCTGCACTTGGAATCCAGGAGAGAGGAAACACTTCAGCTGTCAAAATGGCGGTTACTTCTTACCAAACTTTTTAAAAATAGCCTTCAAATATTCTTTACTCTATTAGTCAGAATTCTCTAGAGGAGCAAAACTAACAGATAAAAGTCTGCATCTGCATACACATACATATGCACACATCTATGGAAGTTATTAGATTGATTCACAAGCTGTGATCTGTGTAGGTCAATAATGGCTGTGGCCAGAAAGAAAGTCCAGGAATTCAGTTATTGTCGTTTGTGAGGCTGGGCGTCTCAGCTGGTCTTCAGTATGCCTTGGAATCCAGAAGTCAGCTCTAATACCAATGATGTCAGCTGGTCTTCAGTATGCCTTGGAATCCAGAAGTCAGCTCTTATACCAATGACGGAATGAATGCGCCAGTGAGCTCAAGAGCAATAAGGCAAAGAACAGAAGTTTCCTTCTTCCAGGTCCTTTATATAGACTGCCACCAGATGATATAGCGCAGATTGATGGTAAGCCTTCCTACCCCGGAAGATCTAGATTTAGGGTAGGTCTTCCTACCTCAAATGATCCAACCAAAAAAAAATCCCTAATAAATATACCCAGTTGCTTGGGTTTTAGCTAATCCCAGATATAATCAAGTTGAGGATCAAGAATGGCCATCACACCTCACCAATACATCCAATAATTCATTTTCAGAAGAATCACTAGTCTGGGCGGTGGTGGCACATGCCTTTAATCTCAGCACTGGGGAAGCAGAGGCAGGTGGATCTCTGAGTTCAAGGTCTCAGAGTCTATAAAGTGAGCTCCAGGACAGCCATGGCTATACAGGGAAACCCTGTCTCAAAAAACAAACTAACAACCGAAAAGAATTACTAGATGCCTTTACCCTATGACACAGAGGGGTGTTGTGTGTATGCGCTATAATTCTGAGACCTTGTAATCTTGGTTTGTCCATTTTTCTACCACACCAGCTTGCTATGTGTCTGGTCTCGTTGCCTGTGAAGTGGTAGGCGTGAACTCCCACAAAAGTAATGCAGGATTAAAGGGCCAAATAGACAGTCGTTGAAACAGTTTACTTAAGGACACAAAGAGCCCAAATTAAGAAAGCAATAAACTGTTTAGGCAGAACGGTGCACACTTTTAATCCTAGGAGGCAGAGGCAGGCAGATCTCTATGAGTTCAAGGATAATCTGGTCTACAGAGTTCAAGGACAACAGGAGTCACATTGTCGGATCCTTTCTTAAAAACAAACAAAAGTGACAAAGCACCACACATGCCTGGGAAGGATGGGGGTAAATCCTGGAGAGCAGAGGTCTCACTTATGGCTGGTGCCAGCCAGGTTTGTCAGCGACGGGGGGTGCAAAAGATTTGGAAGACAAATAACAGTCTGACTGGTAGAAAATGGGACATAGATCCCTTGTGCAGAAAGCTGCTTAGCCTGGCAGAAAGAGAACTTTGCTACATACACGGCACAAAGCATACGGGGGGGGCATGTAGCTGCAAGTAACCTGAAGTCCAGGTTTGTCTAACCCTACCCCTCAAGATCTCTGAGGAAATGCAGGCAAGTTGATGTTTTGAGTGTCTGGTTCTTGCAGGCAGAGGGAATATCATCAAATCTTTCCCACATGATTATTGTAAAGATCTAGGACTTTGTAGCCAGTAAATCCTCAATAGAGTTTGGCCAAGATCTGGAGACATTTAAGACAGAAGGACTCTGATATTTAAGAGGAGCCCTGGCCAGAGGTGATCAGCAGGCCTAATTGTGATGTTAAGGAACTTTCCAGCAGGATAATAAGGTGGCATCAAATAATAGTTTCATTAAATGAATGACAGTCTGCATTTATAGTTTTAGCGCCCTGCCAATTTCATGAAGCTACAGCACTTATGTAATTGTGGGTTGGCTGAAGTTTCCCATGCAAAATTGATTCTTAGCAACTTCATAACCATTGCTAATGTTTCTTAAAGGCTCTCTGTGAAGTTATACATGCCAACCATCTAAAATCTGGCTCTCATTATCACTGTTCCCCTCTTCAACTCTGAGGGCTAAATTAGGTAGTGACATAAATGAGGATTAAATATAGCCAATCAACGGAAGTCACAGCAAGAACCTGTGCTGGATTGTAGGATTTAGACATGAGCTGAAAGGAGAGAAAAGAGAAGCCTGCTTTGCCATCTGCTTCAATCCTCCATGGACCCTGGGACATCCCAGGCAGAGCCCATATCTGCCAGGCCAGCCCAGCACACATGGAGTTCTGAGGTGCAGGGCCCACCACAGTTACCTCAGAAGCCTCAGAGTCACACATAAGTTGGCTTTACAGTTTTGAAGTACTACCAGCAAATCTTGTAATGTGCGGGATTCTTTTTTATTTTATTTTATTATTGAAAATAGGCTTTTCTCTCATACAATGAATCTCCACGAAAGTTTCCCCTCCCTCCATTACTCCTGGATCCCCCTACTTCTCCTCTCTTCCAGACCCACCCACCCCCCCACCCCCGTTTCCTTAGAACTTTCTTATATTGCATCTGACAGAAAGGCTGAAATTAACTATGATATAAATAAGATGCAAGTTTGTTTATGCAAGGGCAGCTGGAAAATATGTCCTTTTTTATAAATATTTCCCTTGGCATGCTAAGATATGGCTGTGATAACATAAAAGAGGGAAGCACAGGTGACAGATGTCAACCAATGAAGATTGCCATTTAGGTAGTATTTCAGGTAACCCACAGTTTAAAGTCTTTTTGGTTTGGTTTCTTTGTTTGTTTTGGCTTTTTGGATCTTTTTAAGACAAAGTCTCTCTATACAGTCCTGGCTGTCCTGGAACTCACTCTGTAGACCAAGCTGGCCTCAGATTCACAGAGATCCCCTTATTTCTGCCTTATGAGTGCTGAGATTAAAGGTGTGCTGCCACCATGACCTGCTAGTTTAAAGTCTCAAAAATTCTAGAATGGGTCTGGGATGATAGTCAACCAGCAAATTGCTTGTCTTGCAAGCCTAATGATCTGAGCTCAATCTCAAAGAACTACCTTTAAAGGTTGGGCTTGGTAGAGTGGACATTTGTAATACTAGGGGGAGACAGAAGGATACAAAACGATTGCTGGCCAGTCAGCTTAGCCAAAATGGTGAACTCTAGGCTAAGGATAGAGTTTGATTCAAAGGAGACAGATGGAATTCCTGGAGGTGGCCCTTTGAGGTTATTATTTGGCTTCCACAAACATACATACACATGCACTAGACACCACACACATGAAAAGGGACACACATAAAAAACAAATCAAGGATGATGTGTAGAACTCAACATACACTTTTCAACAAGTATTCATGAATCAAGAACAAGATTGATTATGTCTGGAACCAGAAAACAGACCGTACTAAATTTACAAATAATTTAAATTATGTAACATGTTGTTTGACTTTAATTGGAATCAACCTAGAAACTAGCAACAGGACAATAAACAGAAAATTTATAAACATATAGAAATGTAATAATATACTTTTTTTGAAATGGCATCTCTCTTTTGTAGCTCTGACTGTCCTGGAACTCCCTATGTAGGCCAGGTACACAGAGGTATGTGTACCTCTGCCTCCTGAGTACTAGGATTAAAGGTGTGCAACACTATACCTGACTTAAATACCATACTACTTAATTGCTGTAAACAAAAAGAAAGCAAATCTTAAAATGAATGACCTTAAGAAAATGCAAAAACTGTGCACTGTGGCACAGGTGTAATCCCAGCAATCGGGCAGCAGAGGCAGGAATATCAGAAGTTCAATTCCAGTGTCCACTCATAATAAGTGTGAGGCCAGTCTGTGCTACATAAGGCTTTGTTTCAGAACACACACACACACACACACACACACACACACACACAGTATCTCAAGATGTCACTCATGTCAATGTAATATTAACTATCATATAAAGGGCACATTACGTGGGTAATTACAATGAGATCAGTTAGGTCATGAGGATAAAACTTGATGTGTTACAGCAGGGAAAGGTGAATATAGTTAAAATCTACTGTGTTCTTCAAGATATTTATAAGGGCAGGTTTTTGAATGTTCCCAACACAAATGACAAGTGTTTGGGGGGCAGGGTATGCTAATTACCCCGATTTGATCATTTCACATCCTACACAAGGATCAAAAGTCCATGTTGTAGCACGTAAATTAATTGTTATGGATCAGCTCTATATACAGTTTGCTATAAAATCAACAGTTCAAGCTGGCATCTCCTTCATGAGATAGTGTTTGCTTAATACCAAAAAGAAGATTGATTTGGGGCACCAGCTGGCACACGCCCTGTCTCCCTCTCGTGAGAAGACCAGATTGCTAGGAAGCCTACACATAGCTGTGCAGGCAGAGTCTATGCCTCTTTCTTCCACTACTTTTGTTGTTGTTGTTGTTTGGTTTTTTGGGTTTGTTTGTTTGTTTGTTTTGGTATTCAGTTTGAACTAGGTCCTCAGGCTACTAAGCTATATACCTAACCCATCCAACGTAATGTTTTATAGCTATCCTCCAAGACTTACAGGATATCTCTGAATTGTTACACACCTACCCTGGAAGTTTGGAGAACTATTGTTTGGTTCT